GAGCAGTGGAAGCAGGAACTCATAGATGGCTGCTGAAGGCCATATTCATGATAAGCCCTGGTTTAGATACAGCCACGGTTGATATAAGCAGTTGAGCAGCAATGACTCCCCACAAAATGCTGTAAGAGTGGATTCTTACAATTTCTGAGATTCTGAACAACTATGGCTTTCAGTCAGTTGGTGCTAAGAAACTCCGGCAAGTTGGTCATGTAAATGCTGAATTTAGCTCAAATGAATGCACCATCTGCACTACTAAATTCACTGCACAGTATCGTCATGCCCAAGACTGCCCAGCTAGAGGCTGAAGATGGAAGGCAGCAGTGTTTGCCATAGGCTCATATGGGAGAAAAGGACCTGAATAATAACATATCACTGTTATAAGGGATCCTTTTATAAGGTCATTCAGTGTTATTTAGAATAGAGTTTTGCCTGGAACCCATCTTTCGTAGACAGTGTGCCTCAATAGTTCATGAAATGAAGCCTAGAATCCATAAGTCCTTAGATCTCAGATAATCAGAATTCATGCAGTGATGGAGTCTCCACAGATTCTCCCCAAGAAAGACTCTCCCCTGCCTTGGAAAGAAAAGATGACGATGACAATGAAGAGAAATGAAAAGAAAGGGAGGGAGGAAGGAGACCACAGAGCTTCCCTTCCCTTCCTTAAAACATGGGAGAGTATAATTTTTTCCCACAAGGACAAACAAGGTCAAGGCATTTTCTCAACACTGTATTCTGTAAGCCCCTCTAGGGGCAAGAATTACACTTACAAAGTTAAATGCCATTGAAAAACGACTTGACCAAAAAGTGACAAGAAAAAACACTGTTAACTTAACCTAATTTGTTGATTTCACTCACTTTCCACACCAAATTGCACTGAATGAAGCCTGACAAGTTAGCTCTTTCATTTTTGTGTGCAAATTTAATAGAGCAACAGTGTTTATGCAGCAAAATTTGTAGATCACAAATATCGATTTTGGTGCCATGGCCATTTCAGGTAAATTGTTTGAACAATATGACTATGATGAATATCTGAAATAAAAAGCTAACGGGAAAGAAAAAATGCTGACCTACAGTATCCAATTCCATTTCCTAGCTAGAAAGTAGCAAATGAATCAACCTGGACCATTCTTTTCTGAAGGACAAATCAATAGAGAAGATTTTTACCCTTTAATAAATATTCAGGTATATTTGTTTGTTTTGCTATCGTGTTAATGCCTTAAATAGAAAGGAATAAAATCTTTAAACAGTTGAAGAACTGCCTAACAATTCATGTCATACACTACTACATCCCACTGCGCCCATTTTTTGTAAAAAATAAAGTTTTTTGAAGAACCTGTGCCAATAAGTATGGAATTTTGTTTTAGCAAATGATGCATGCAAAAGGTTATTTTAACCTTCCTTGTCATGTTTCTTCACCTTCTGTGTTTGTAGTTAATACACCTTGCTTTCTAAAATCCATTTATCTTTCAAATTCCTTATCCTTCCATGCTTTTGATTAAATCATTTATGCACTCTTTCTGAACATACACATTTTTTAGAGGTCAGACTTTAGCGGTCACACAGAATCTCTAATAAGAATTGTATTTCATTAATGTCAAGTGTTTCTGGAATCTCTAAAGAACTGCACTGCCTACAAAGTTGTTCTGCCTGTAGCCTATAATATTTCTTTCCTGCACTCTGATAACACGGAGGTGAAACCTAGTTTGAGGGAAAGACAACAAAATAGACTTTCTAAAGGAGATCTAAAATGCAATCATAAAATGTGATTAATATACAGGCCTAGCTAAAGACAGGTATGTATATTGGTGTCAATACACCAGCAGACAATATTGGACTAACATTTGTTGGGGTTAGTTTTGAAAATCTATCCTTTCTTATTCAATTTCAAAGGGAGATGTGCTGATTTCATGAATATTCCTCAAATAAAGTCTTTTTCAGGCATTCAGTATGAATACACGAAGTGGCTCTCATGAACGGAATGGCTATCGTCATCCCCTGAACATTGACATGCTATTGCGGTCAGTCTGAAGAGGCCAACGTGTGCTCCGATGTACACCAACTGCGTTCCCTCCATGAGGAAAGGAACAAGGCTCCCATTACCTTAGAAGCATGTTATGTGTCCAAAAGTCCCCTTCAGACCAATGCTGATCCTGCATTAGTCCAGGATTGGCCACAATGCACACTGGCATTTAGGGAATGAGGCAGTCAGTTCTGCTAGTTCACAAGATCCTCTTCGTGCATGCTTGCTAGTTGCGAAGTTGCGTCCGACCCACCGCGACCCCATGGACAACACTCCTCCAGGCCTTCCTATCCTCCACCATCCCCCGGAGTCCACTTAAGCTCACACCGACTGCACTCATTAACAAACAGATCTTACATTGAATACAAGGCTACTATATACATGCCCAAAGCCAAAATTCCCATTTCATTACTATGGGAAATAATACTATAATACTAGGCGTTTGAAAGCACAGTTTGCAGTGATATAGGTGTTACCCATTTACCATTTCTGCTCCCTCTCTCTCAAACACAGAGAAAAATGCCTTTCATGAAAAGATAAGGCCACATTAATGACTATTGATCCCAGTGAGCTTCAGATCACATCACCTTTCTGTACATCACCATCAAAGAATATCATGTGAAAACCATTTAGATTCCATAGATGTGAATAAAAGAATCAGACAGTAGCATTGTCTAAGTGGGACATTCAAAAAATGCTGCAGTGCATTCCCATTCTCTAACAAGTTTGTTTATACCTGCAGATATGGAATAACACGAGCCCTACAGTGCTGATTTCAAAGGCACCAGGATTTTCAGGAGTGGAGAAGGATGCAAGGACAGGTGTTCATGTGTTATGCTGTGTGGGTGCCAGATGGCTGGTAGTCCACAGCAGAGTATTTGAAGGCTACCTACTTGTAGGTGGAAGAGGGCATATAGTTATGGACAAGCAAAATGCAAGCCTCATCACCACAGAGCATTCCCCAACCGTCAGGGACTTGACCAGAAGCACCTGCCATGTTAAAGGGGCATGTGCATGTGCATGCACATGCATGCTTGTATGTGTGTACATGTGCCATTTTGGGTCTTTTTCAGCCAACAAAATAGACATATTGAACAGGTCTGTCCTTGTATTATGTCCATATTGTAATTTTCCAATCGGCATTGTAAGGAGTGTGCATGTGCTTGTGACATCGAGAAACAGCATGAAAGACCCACATGGGGCAGCACTGCTGCCTACTGCTAAAGTTGCGGATCATGATGAGAAGGAAGTACTGTATCTGTGGGAAGGAGACCCCTCTCCATTTGTAGCTGAATCTTTCTTTATCAGTCTGACCAACATGCTAAACATAGAATATGCTGCATCAAGTCTCAGGCTTGTATAATCCTCTAATCCCACCTACCTCCTACTCCTGACATGGCTGCAGCTAGCTAGAAGGGGCTGGCCACCTATTCTGACCGTTGGCTCCAGCTGGCTCTGCTCATGAAATGCCTATCATCAGAAAGCATCATCTCCCATAATGTCCAGATGCAGCTAGTCTCCGTAGCTCTTAGCCTGCTGTCTTCTATTGATTCATCTACATCCTTTTGGTTGGCTATTGCTATGGAAATGGTATGCATAGTGCTTATGTGACAGTCCACAGCATGTTGGGCTGTGCAGTCAAGTTAACCTTGCTTTGTTACTTGGGAAGTAAAGCAGTGAGGACAGTGAATGATCAGAGCAGCAGTGAAGTGAAGCTCATGGGATTAGTTCACATACCGCAACAGTAAGCCTCACTTTGCTTACAAACTTAGGAAAAAGACACTAAAAAGGGAATGATGTTCACAAAGGACATTAAGAGGAAACAAAATGAAACAAATGTGTATTTGCCCATTTTACCTTCAATAGCTGTGAGAGCTATTTGAAATAGCATCTTATTATTCCCTGCAAGGAGGAATGACAACTATGTGCTTACTTCTCATTTACTTTGTATTAAACTTGAAGGAATGAACTGATACTAAATTTTGGATATGTATGCAGCAATTGACATGTCCCACTCCTGGGAAGTATGCTCAGCAAGAAGTGATGCCATTATGGTAAGATGTATTTCCAAAACGAGAATTTAATAAGCACTAATAGAGCAAAATTGAGCATTACAATGGCATATATGTTATATTTAAAGAGCCATATTGCCTGCTTTTCAATGTAGCACCTTTTCCTGAATACTAAAATGCACTGCTGTAAAAATATATAATAAAGGAGAATTCTCCAATTCATGGCATGCCACACTGAAAATTAACCATATACAAAAATCATTAAAATGCTTCATTGCTGGCTGTATTGGGTCACGTTCAATTTAGCTAGTTAAAATTTCCCTCAATCCCTTCCTTGCCCCTCCACCTCAGTCCTGCAGAAAACTGTAGCTACTTAAATGTTCAATACAAAGTGCTTTTAAGAATTCATTAAATTGCCATCCTTTCTATGTACCATCTACTTTCCTTTAATTCAACGTGATTGCATGTAACAAGAATAATTTACTCTACATGGGGCCACTAAGTGACATGGATACCTGTAGTCTTTCAAATCTGGCTCTTCTTTTTCTGAATTAATTATGACTGAAGTGTTTGCTTTTATGGGTTTCCAATTATGCTATTTTGTATACCATCCTTTTTATTTGTTTTGTTCTGCATTTTGCACTTAAAATGTTCAATAAATATAATCCATACTCAAAAAGAAAGAAAAGATGGATCTGGACTCTTCAACAAAAGAATTGCTCAGATTTACCTGTGGTACATTATTCTTCAATTGGCACAATTATTAGGACCATAAGTACAGAGCATAAAAGAAGTATAAATAAAAGTTCCACATGCCAATAACACAGGAGGTACTGAATTCCTGAGCTCCTTGTCCAGTACTAATATAGCTCTTCTATACCACACCATTATGGAGCATTTCCTTTTGTCCTCTTGCCCCCTTTACTCAATACAAGCCGCAAAAAAATTGTTTGTATTGTAGCATTTACCTTCCTCACAGTTTTCACCTTTGTAGCCAACAGAGCAGACACAGTTTCCTTCCATGCACGAACCGTGGCCTCCGCATGAAGGATCAATACACTGGCTGACGGGTACATCACACTCTGGCCCTTTCCAGCCACTGTAGCACAAACAGGCTCCTTTGGTGTATTGTCCGTTGCCACTGCACAGAACCGGGCACGCAGCTGGAAAATTGAATGGGAGAAAGAAAGATAACAGCATGGCATGTATATATGCCCACTTTCAAACTGTGTATCAGGGTAGTAAGACTCAACTGGTAAGTAACAGACTTCAAATGATGATTGAATGGGAAATGCAAGTCATGCTGTTCTGATTTCCCTTTCAGAAGCTGCAGATTTGTAGGGGTGCAAAAAAAAAAAAAAAAAAAAAAGGTAATAACATTTATCAAACCACTTTTACTTTGGTGAAAAGAGATCTCCCTGCTGGAGACAGAATACATTTGATTTCACCAATGTAACTGGAATAAATAAGCTCATTTTCACACTTTGCACAATTTAAAATCTAGAATCCATTGCATCAACAAATCTGTATCTTAAGGAACACGTGACTGTGAGGCTTGGAAATTATACTGTAGTCTCCATAGTCCTAGTGACAGATCATCTGCTATAGTACAAAGGATGAAAATTATTTGATATGTAAGTGACATTAGAATGAATGGATGGGTTGGATCCAAGCTAAAATAATACTAGTAAAGCTAAATGGTGAGCTGATTCTCTTGTTAATATAAAACTCATGGTTTTGTGCTACTTGGACAAGCCAGAACAAGTCTGATCAAAGCCTCAGAATTGTGTGTTCTCCCCTCCCTCCTCCTATGTGATTGAGAAGGACTTTGACAGAATGCAAAACCTGACAGAGTGTAAAACTTGGTTAACTCTAGTCAATTTCCAAACAAGCCAGCATCAAACCAGAGGTTCTTCAGCTGCCTTATTTAAGTAACCAGAGATTTAAACCACAATCTCTTCTTGTTATGTGAGGACAGCATAGCTTTCATGGAACTTGGATACATGGGAGAAAGAGGAGACAGAATGGTGTGCGTAGTCCTGTGCCTTGCTTGAGCTTGTTCAGTCTTGCTTACTTAATGCTAAACCAGCCTACCCCAGGCTGGTGCCATCTGTTGCTTTGGACTACAACTCCCAGTATTCCTGAATATTGGTCATGTGATGGGAGTTGAAGTCCAAGGTATCTTGCCTCCCTGAATGAACACATTTCCTTAAAGGAAAAAGTAAAACTTTATGCATCTGTCCCCAGCCCTGTCCCCAGCAAATGTTTTTGACTTCATCATCCATCAGCTCCAGCTAGGATGGATCAGACCAAACCACCTGCAGGGTCCCAGTTGAGAAGGGCTGCCTTGTATCATTCTAAGAATTAAGAGTTAATTCTACACATGAGCCTGTGCACATGACTAAACATTATGTGTAATATATGAATTGGAAGGTGTATTTATAACTCATTGCACATACTTGCAGAAATCTTAAGTGAATAATTATTAATATGCAAAGTAATATAATTTCAGCTACTTCAATATGCTTCTAAATATGTGTCTAGGCATGATGCAGGAAGTGGAAGCTTCAGTGCATTTTCCATATCCCCATTGATGCCTGTCCTCCCTCCTCAGTCAAGGAAGGTAAGCACAGATCACCCAGTGCATTGAATCCCATGAGCATCCATGAGGGAGACAGGAAAGCAGGGCTGTGTTATGCCCCATGGGGAGTCTTTCATGTACAGCCACTACACCCACAGGATCTGAACCCCACATGTTTCCAACTGATTTTTACACAATAGGAATTATTAAGCAGTAACTTAGTTTACTTCATATTTAATTTAAAATAAATGGGAAGATACTGTTGTTAAGAAATACATGCATACAGGCAATAATACAAAATAATAAAGTGTAGAAGCCTGAGAGAAGAAAATATTCACTGGCTCATGTTTTTACAAAAACCCACATCCACTGTTTTTGTTTATGATGCTTACCACAAAGAAATGAAGCACATTTTTCTCAGATAGCAGCAGTAAACTACATTATGCACTCTTATAAATAATAATTAATAATTACATGTTGTTACGCTGATGCCTCAATACGGTAACAAAAATGGTAGCATTACCAAGTTTGTGATAGCCATAGTGCTTCCTGCCAGAAACAATGCTTAAATTACTTAATATGCCTCCCTCTCCTCCTCTGTCAGGCCAGTGCAGTTGTTATTCATGGTACTGCTATGTGTTAAAGCCAATGGCCAAGAAGGCTGGGGATCATGAGCGTTCTAGTTCAACACATCTGGATGCTTGGTGGGCGATACACCTCAAAGGGGGCCAACTTGCCTTCCAGATACCTCCAGATACCTTGAGAGGTATAGGATCTTTTGCTGGGGGTTTAGCCTGTGCTGCAGAAAGCAGAAGCCCTGGCCTTATGCTACATAACATGGATACAAAGCACACTGATGTGAGAGTTTATTCAGAAAGAAATATAGAGCAAGTACAAACTCTTAACCTGTTGTCTAGGCAGCAAATATCCATTTGCATTTGCATCTTCTTTCCTTCACTTCCTTGAGATAGTGGTAGCCATCCCTTGTAGGGTCATTTTGTTTAACCTCTTTAAGGTCACTCTCTCCAGCTGATGATTGGCCTTTCCTCTACAAGAATTCTTCTACAAGAATTCATCATTCCTTCCTGCATCTCATTCGTACTTGCTAGCACAGGGCTTTAGGTTACTCCTCCTAAACAACTGAGCCTGTTCTTATTGTGTTTGGCATACAATCAATATTGGCATTATATAAACGCTACACCCCAGGTTGGGAAATGTGCTCTGTATGACACACAATGGCACTTGCTGCCATATTTGCAAAAGCTGTCCTATAAAACTCTTGCAGGAGCCCCAACGTGGGGCAGTAGCGCGTGACTCACCACTTGCTGTAGCAAAGAATGGGCAACTGTACTGGTATTGGGAAGGATTCTCAAGTGGGATCCTAGCAAGAATCCTATCAGCTGCTACCTCCATGAGAGATCTGCTTGAAGCTCAAAGGGCTTGGCTATTAGGCAGTGTGATGTAAATTCTTATTGATATCCTTATTTTAGAAATAAACAGCAACTCTGCCCATTTAAGCCAAGTTTGTTACACCACAAACCACTGGGAAGGATTGTGCAGACAGATGTGCAATCAATTTCTTACCGGTGCTCTTCAAGCTGACCCTTTGAGAATCCTTTCTCAAGAGGATAATTAATTCTGCATCTGTAATAACTCAAGCCAGAACATTCTTTTAGCAGAAATTAAATTGCTACTGTGTATGTTTCCCCAGTGATGGAGATGGATTATGCTTCACCATGGTCTAAGGTGAAATCCACAAACTTTTCCCATATCCAGTTTTTCACTAACCTGAAAATAAACTTTGGTTCCTTAAAAAATGCTTGCCAAATAAAATAAGCAACTTATCTGTTTTCCTTTCCAAATGATAAGTAAGTAAAGATGTCTGGTGTTCTCATCTGTCAGAACTATTGGCTTTTTTTTTTTGGCAAAAGCACATGAAGTATATGTTATCATCCAACCTTGAAATCCAACACCATCTTTAAAATATTCCTGGCAGAAGCATTTCAATTTTGCCTCTAATCTTCTTTTCCTTTCAACATATTCTCTACAATAGGGTTTTCTTCTCATTTTTTCTCTGTTTCAATCCTCAAAAGTTTAATAGCTCATCAGTAATGAATCTTTAGTTACTGAGCAACCAATATACATTTCAGATATTGTTTCCTAGTGTTAAGCAACAACAATAAGCAACACCAATCCCAGTGTTGCTTACTTTGTTCAAAATTCTCAGGCTACCTTAAAACTTGTACATCTCTTGTCATGCAAGTATAGCATAAAGTAAGTCACCTCCTTTATTTGCTTGCAGACAGTGAATTTTCAAAACCGAAAATACTTCTTTAGCTTCAAGCAGAGCTGCATCCATTACTGGAAGCATTCACTTTGGCAAGGCGTAGCTGAATGTAAAACTCAGAAGCAGAGAAGCTTCTTGGCTGGATGGTCATCCAGTAGCTTCAGGGACAATGAAGCACTATCTAGTTTCTTGAATCATGCTACTCTAGTTTTCACCCAGCTGAAGCTCAGGTTGTCTTATCAGTAAGGCATTGTTGTTGCTACAAAAGCTTCTTCCCCAAGAGAAATTTCTATTCTGTAATAGTGTGAACTTCATGCATTGCTCAGATGATCTGTTTAATTTCTAAAAGGTACTGTAGCCAATGCACACACAACATTAATGTAGGAAGTAGTTCCAAATAACCTGTATGAGTGCCACCACCATATTTTACTAATATATAATCAAATTTGTACTGAATTAGGGAGAGGCGATAGAAGACAAAGAATTATATCAGAATGTGGTACCTCGGGGGAAAAGCACATCAATACAGAATTGTACAATTTCTTCTCAGTTTGTTATGCTTCTTTGAAGAATTCTGAAATGTGGTAGAAAGCATACATTGCATAGCTTTT